ATAAGAAAAACTTATATTTTAATATATCTAATCCTTAATTATTAGATCAACCAATCTTGATTCAAAGATTTAGTAAATAACTCAAACATTCAACATTATCACATAATTTGGCTATACTTAAAAAGATAGGCCAACCAAGAGGATAAACATTATTCCCAATAATGTTACGTGAATGGGTGGGGGTGGGCCACCGTTTTGGTGGCCACGTGTAGGCCCCACCTAACCCACATCTTTTTAAATTTTGGGCTCCATATTTTATGGAGGTCCCAAATACTTTTAAAAAATATTTTATTTCATATTTAAAATTTTTAAATCTTATATTTTATTTAAAACATTGAAAAATTAATTTCTCTTAATTTATAAATTCAAATGATGAAAATTAAATATCAGAAGATTCACAAAAAAATCAAATAAAAATTCTAAAAATCACAAAAGTTTTTGAAGGGAATCGAATCTGTTAGATCTAGGAAATTATCAATACATGGGAGCACTCCACCTTTAACTATGAATCACAATCTGTCTAGCTTTCTCAAACTGACCCAGTAATTCCCATGACCCACAGTCTACTGCAGGGGTTCATGATTGGACCACCAAAGCCAGCCAATAGACTAGGGGACGCAATTCCAGTTTCTAGATTTCCTCCCCTAGAGACAAAAATCATGGTCCTCCAAACCATGATGCAACAATGACTCTATGGTGTATAGGGGTAATTTCTCGCACATGCACACGCTTCACCCTCATTGGTGAATATCAAAATGGCTATCTATGTATATGTCGTGTGATGATATAACGATGATATTTTAGCCCGTCTCTAAGCTATTCATCACACGTATGGGCTACACAGTCCCTTGGCTCTCATCTAGGCATACTCCGACCTCATCAAGGGATAACCCACTAAACCCTTATCGGTAGAACCCTATGCCCAAGTATCTTGGGTTTTTCCAAACCTCGACTGGCCTAGCTCGTCGAGCCTAATCCGAATATCAACAAACAACATTTGCCTAGTATGGTCCACAAAAGGACCACACTCCCACTGAGTTTATATTTCGCTATATAAAATGCTCATACAAGCTCTCATAAGGCCTTTAAAGGCCACATAAACCCAACAGTGTGGTCCCTATAGGTATGTTGGGCAGAACTAAGGCTGTTTTCTATGATTTTAAAGTCATTCCTTATGGTTTTAAGGTTTAGGACCTTAGGAAAAATGTGAAATTCAAAATGGGTCTATTTTACAAGCTTTTCTGTGGACATTAACGAGTCAGGGACAATATCTCAATCATGGGACTGACCAGGCTTTACTTAATGGCCTTAGCGGCCTTGCCAGCCAAGAACCATTGTGTCCGACCCAGTCGGTTAACCATGTCGAACCCTTAGGGAAACCTAGTTAGTCATCTTATCAACCACCACTGGCGGTTCACACGCTCCAACTATTCCCTACCTGCCTTCCAATACACCACCCCACAATCCCAGTACACCACCCCACAATAGGGAGCAACTTTTTCTTGCTGATGGATTGCTGGTTTACTCTTCTCAAGAGTAGATGTGCTATGCCTCCCATGTGCTGGTTTACTACTTTCATGGTCCTACCCCTCGTTGGAGAGAAGATCTCACACCCAAAAAAAAAAATTTGGATGAACTTTTTTTTTTTTTAATATTATTCTTATCAAAATGGTTTGAGGTCATCCTTGATTCACTTGGTGGACAATTTTGATCTTTGTTCAAATGGGTGTCCGGTGTCAATTACTGAGGAGAAATAATTTAGAAGCATTTTATGTTTAACTCATAATTAAATTTTGTCATTGATACTAAGAACAACAAAATTTTAAGGTAAAAGGATTCTCTAGTGTTTGGGTGGGAGACTATTTCTTGATGGGGGTGTTGCTAGAGTCCACATTTTTTTTCAATAAATTCGAAACTTGATCGTGACTGTTTACATTTTTACAAGGTGGTCACAATTACTCTTGACCTTTGGATTTGAAATTCGGTGGTTACATTTATTCTATTAACCAAGCACAAAGTTCAAATTGTTTTCAAACTTTGTGACAACCTCAAACTATCAAATTTCGCATCGGATGGTTATAAACAATTGTGACCTGCTTGTACAATAGGTAAATTGTCTCATTATATGCAATCCCTTTAGATAAAAGAACGTATAAGATACTATAACAAAAGTACATCATCAAATTACTACTCGATAAAAAACCTACTTAAGAGAATTTGTCTCTATTAGAAGTTTAATTATCCAATTTAGAACCGCAGAGTTAGTATTAAAAAAAGAATAGAAAAATAAAAATAAAACGAGGTCTAAGTACTTAGATCTAACCCACTAAAAATTGGAGGGCTCTGCGGTTCAGTCTTAGGAGATTACTTTTTTTTTTTTCTAAGAACACAACACACAAAGTATATATAATTTAAGGGAAAGTATAGAATGGGATCATTTACCTTTAGTACAAGGTGAGATATTAATCTTGACCATTGGATGTGAAATTGGGTGGTTGCAATTATTCTATTGACCAAACTCATACCTCAAAATTTTTTTTTTCGAACTTTGTGACACATTCAAGCAATCAAAATTTACATTGGATGCTTGTAAGGAATTGTGACCATCTTGTATCAAAGGTAAACCGTCTCATTGTATACAATCCAATAATTTAAATATTTATCTATTATTTTTTATTTTTTATGTTGGTCATTTTAATGACGAGTTATCCTCCAATTATGCAATCCGAAAATACTCTTCAGCAGAGTTTTACCGGGGGAGTGAATATACGACAAGACAGCCTACAATCTTGTGGCTTATTGTAACTCCTATAAGTGCCATACTTTGAAGGATTCCCTATGCCAGTAATGTTCTTGAGTTCCAATCCTATGAACAAATTGAGGGAACCTTATAGATAAGAAAGAAATATTTACAATGGGTACATTACATGAGCTGAATTAAGGCCGTTTGGATCCAAGGAAAAAGATTGTTAGGAAAAATCTATTTTCTTTGAGATATATTTTTTGAAAAAAGTATTTCCTATTTGTTTGAATGACTATGACTTTTATTTTTATTTTTTAAATGCTTTTGATTAAGATAGTTTCTCTTTCTAAAAATTTTAAGATAGTTTCACTCTCTAAAATTTTTGAGATAGTTTCTCTCTCTAAAATTTTTGAGATAATTTATCTCTGTAAAATTTTGAGATAGTTTCCCTCTAAAATTTTCAGGTACTTGCTCTCTCTAAAACTTAAAATTTAAGATAGTTTTTCTCTCTAAACTTTTTTAGATACTTTCTCTCTCTAAAATTTGATAAAGTTTCTCTCTCAAAATTCTTACGATACTTTTTCTCTCAAAAACTTAAAATTTGAAATAGTTTCTCTTTGTAAAAATTTTGAGATAGTTTATGTCTAAAATTTTTAGATAGTTTTTCTCTCTAAAATTATATATAATTTATCTTTCTAAAATTTTAAGATACTTTCTCTCTCTAAAAGTTAAAATTTAAGTTAGTTTCTCATTCTAATTCATGGCAGTGTTTTAGCAAAAATAATTGAATTTTATAAAGTAGGGATCTCAGTAAGGGAAAATTCGGTTGGAAATCAATTTATGAGGGTAAAGGCAAGGATACATATTTCTTTATTTTTTGGCTTAAAATAAAGAAAATAGTTTTTGGCAGAAATATTTTTCTGTCCCAAACTTTCGATCCAAATGCCATAAATGTGCCATCTCCACTGAATTTTTTTTTTCTAGAGATGTATTTTTGAGTATCCAAACGGCCCTTTAGTCTTCACTAATTGTCCAATTCAATAGCATGGTCACATATCGAACACTACACTTGTTCTATCGTCCTCTATCCTTTCAGTGAATAGTGATGATCGAAGTGATATGTTTTCTTTCTATAGACTTGCAGGAAACTTTTTTTGCAATAAAATTGATTGGTTTAAATTCAATGGTTTTAAAACACTGCTTTTGACCCCTTTCAAGCATGAAAGGATTTCAAAGATGATAAGAAATGGGTTATCGTCACCCAATCAATAGGTGGACAATGACAAGAGAGGGAACTCACTTATGGAGTCATTATTATCATCAATACATTTTCACAACTATTTGGGGTCGCCTAAGGGAACCTCTTTGTGGAGTTATAATATCCCCATAATATTTATCTTTGGCAAAAGTTGATATCAGGTTGTAATCTTAAAGTGTAGAATTATAAATGCATCTCAAAAATCATCGGATAATGTTGTTTTAATGTTGAAAAAACCATCGAATTGATCACCTCAACATCATGATGTATGAATATGAAAGAAATTTCTTTTTGAGTCCCTGAAATATTGCATCTTGAAACACATTATCTAGACTGTCTATTTTCAAGATTTTCATATGTTTATAGATCCACTTGATTTTAATGATTTTTTGAGTTTAAAATTTTAGAATTAGATATAAAAATAGGTTTTGAGATAATCCTAAAAACATTTACACCAAAATTACATATAATGATAAATTTGGAGGTGCGCCTTGATTGGATTGTTTAAGGTTGCAACCTTATAGAAACCACACCATTTATCTTTTGTGTAAGGAGGTCATAGTTACTTTTAACTGTTAGATTTGAAATCGTTCAAAGTTGGAAAAAATTGTTTTCAAACTCTGTGAGATACTTAAGCCGTCTGATTTGACATTTAATGGTTAAGATTAGTCGGGACCCCTTATCCCAAAGATAGATGGTCTTACATCATTCAATTCCTTCCATAATCAATAGGACTACATAAATACTTTTTTATATAAACTTGGGGATTGATGGGTGGTTGTGTAAACTACTATGTTGGTACGGTATACTATTTGGAAACTTTTGGTATGGTGTACAATTTGAAAACTTGCTTCTTAGAGCACATTTGACTTTGTTTAGGTTGTGCATGTAATCCAAAGTGATTCAGAGTACAAGTAATGAGACCGCTCTCTCTCTTTCTCCCAAAGTTTAATATCCAGAGGTCGAGAGAGCATAGACTACTGTTTGGGAAGGAGTGAAATGGCGGTGAGTTCGAAGAACTTACATTACGTTACTCTCTAAAAATTTTTACTTTATCTTTTTCTGGTTCATTTGAAAGAAGAAGTTGTGGTAGGATGGTGTTGTTTCTTTAGATGCATTGTGTCTGCAAATTTACCACATCTCACATTACTTGTGTGTTTTTTTTTCAATATGCAGTTTGATTAAGAGTTTGAGCTCCATGATAGCATCTCTCTCTCTCTCTCTTTCTGAAAATATAATATGATTAAGACTTGGATCTCCATGATAGCATCTCTCTCTCTCTCTCACATATTAAATGTGTTTTTTTGAACTTTTTTTTTGATTAAGGGTAAGAGGTGTATGATAGCACCCCTCTCTCTCTCTGCTAAAGAGATGGAAATTGAATTTTTTCAAAAAAAATACTCCCCAATATTTGGTTTGTCCCAGTGAATTAATGTTAAATTAATTTCCCTGAAGGTTATCCTTTTGCAGGGCATTTTCGCAATTTTATTACTATTCCTGGGCAGTTCTACACCGGGTCGGGCTCGAACTTTGTATGGAGTGGATCATGGGCCGTCAAATTTCGACGTTGTCCGTTTCGGAGCAGTTGGCAATGGCAAAAGAGACGATTCAAAGGCAAAAGCTTTTACGGCACATTGTTATGTGAAAATTCTTCTGTAAAAGTATTTTTATATTTTTCCAACTAATTGGTCCCAACATATTTTGTAGATCGATGGACTGCCGAAAAAATTCTCACACCTAATCATATAAGAGAATCTTTTCATTCCATGAAAATATTTTCTCTCGTATTAAACATGCCTCAAGAGTGAAAATATAACATAATATCTTTCTTCATTCTGTTCCATTTAACCATTTTAGAGAGAGAGAGAGAGGGGAAAGGAGTTATGTGATGATTATTCTCTGCTGATTTTTGCAGGCATTCTTGAAAGCATGGGAAAGTGTATGCCAAAGTACAAATCCCCCCACCATGACTATTCCAGCAGGGAAAACCTTTCTCCTTAATCCAACTACTTTTAGAGGCCCGTGCAAGTCTCCTGCTATCAATATCCAGGTACATGAACAAAGAGAGAGAGAGAGAGAGTATAAGGTCAGATTTAGAAAATATCCATTATTAGTTTTACTTTCCAAAAGTTTATGCCAAAGCATTAGAGTTGTTACGAATTTGCAGTTTATAGAAAGTTGTTGTTTGATACTCTATTTTTAAGACGTAAAATTTGCTAGAAGATCAGGTAATTGCCATATTATAAAGTTTTCAAAAAAGGAAAACTGCTCATAAATGAAATTTCGAAGTATTAATTCAAATATATTAGATCTACAACATGCTTTTTAATTTTTATATTAAAGACCATAAAATTTATTTAAGATACGTTATAATTTTTCATTTCAAAATTATAAAAATAAATAGCTGGTAAGGACCATAGAAGCATAGATTCCTAACCACAAAAAGATAGATAGGGTTGGGTCGTGGTGGTAGCATCCCTATACTTAGTTACCGTGCTGTGGTTTCTAATCCTATTTTTACAGCACATTGACACCTTAAAATAAGCTAACTCCATAAATATACATGAAAAAATGGGAAGGGGTTAGTCTTCCCTATTGAATTACCCAAAAAAAAAAATGTATTAAAAAGTAGAAATTTAAAAATATTGAATAAAGAAATATCTGCATGATTTTTTAAAACACTTGGAAATTAATGATCTAATACGACAAATACTCACAAACTATTTATAAGACATAATTTTTTTTTAAAAAAATATAAATTATTGACGGACTAAAAGACAAATGAATCAAGATTTTTTTTTTTTGGGTAATTCAGTAGGGAAGACAGGCCCTTACCCATTTTTAAAATAGGTTAGAAGTTAGCTTTTTGAAAGTATTAGTAAGATGCTGAGAGTGATGGGAATAGAAACCGTGGTGAAAATCATAATAATAAAAACAACATTAGAATAATAGTTCTAGAGAAATCTACACAAAAATTCTACTTTAAAAAACAACTTCGTTACTTTTTAGGGGGTGTGGAGGTAGGAATTAGTTGACATGGGAATTAGTTGCAAGTAAATTTTAGGGCATAAGAATTCAAAAGAAAATATTTAGTTATTCATATAATGGAGAAAAAGAACAAATTATTTTCAAAATTTGAGAATCTTCTATAAATCAAAAGTTATGCATAGTCATTTTTAGAGTACAAGTTGGTATGCTAGTTTAAGATATTTGTAATATCTTTCTAAATATTAAAATATGATAAATATTTTGAGAATCGTGATAATAAATAAATGACTATTCTAAGGAAGTCTGGAATCTGTAATATTGAGGAAGTTGTAATAGTAAATTTGCATATTTTCTACAAAATTTTGGACTTTGTACTCTGTTAGGGAGTTGTGTAATAAGAATTGATTTTAGACACCAAAGAAATATGAATATTCCCACGTGGATGTGTGTGTGAGAGAGAAAATGTAGATGGTATTGATGAAGAGAAAATTTAGGATAGCAAGCACAAATTTTGGGATAGGATAAATTAGCAAGCTCAAAATGTAGAATGTCGAGAATATGTGGGTTTTATAAGGTGGCAATACTATCCAGTTTTGTTTTGAGAATATGTGGTTTTGATAAGGTGGCAATCCTATCTAGTTTTGTTGGATGGTGTTGATTGGGCATATCATTTCATGACCCGTCTTTCAAGATATTATAATATCTAAACCGTCAAAATAAATATAAGATCTAAACCGTCAAAATAAATAAGACAACATAGATTAGTACAACCTTACTTAAATCTTTTCCTTTATTTTGTCCCGATAAGTAAGAATCCATTTACCTGCATATGGTAAAACTACGTTTAAAGGCCACCTGTCATACATACTCCTTGGAAATATCGTATAGGTACAATATAGATACGGTTATTGATATAAATATAGATAGGATAAAAATTGACCTTCAAATTTCTCGACGCTATTTGAAAGTGGGCTCTAATTTGATTGTTTAGAGCCTCGACTCTCTACAAACCACACCTGTTTCTATATTCTATTGCGATTTATCACATGAAAATTGCCACTTATTCTTTTTCTTGTATTTTCTGCATTAAACTGATTAGGGAAACTAAATAATGCTCTCTCTCTATCTATAAACAAATGTTGCGTTCATTTCTTCATGCCAAAACTGAGCATTTTTTTTGTCTCCCATGTCCTTGGGGTATCTCTTTCTTTCGTCTTCGATGCTTAATCTCTCACTCCCAATATTTCCTCTGTAAATACCTCAAATTATTACCTTCTCCAATATTTTCCCTAGACGAGGAAAAATCAAACCAGGATTTCCTAAGATCAAAATCTTGTCCTTTTTTTTTCTTTGAAAGAAAATTAGTCATAAGTTGAATCAAAGATGGTCCCATAGGACAAAATGCCTAATTTAGTTAAACAGGATCTCAATACACGGGCTGTTTTCAGGGTGAGGCCCTAAACAATCAAATTAAGGCGTATCTTAAAAATTCACTACAAGGGATTGTTTCGATGTTGAAAAACTCTCAACTCGATCATGTCGATCTCAAGATATATAGACATGAGAAAACATAGATTTCAAGTCTTGGAAACTATGCATCTTATAATGTGCTCGATCTACATTATTTTTGAATCGTTAAAATTTCTAATTAAAAATAAGAATACATTTTCAGGCCATCATAAATATTTTTAAAACTAAAATAACATATTTCAGTACTATTTGAAGGTGTGCCTTACTTTGATTATTTATGGCCTCGGCCTTATACAAACCACACCCTTTTCTAAATTATTAATTAAATGGAGCGAGTGAGGAAAATAAGAGAGACTTAAGAGTTTATATGCCTATTAGAGAAAGAGAGAAGGAAAAATTTAAACATGTGTTGGGAGTGGGGGCGGGGAATTGGTGGTTATGGGGGCAGGTTCCCCAGCATAATGTTTTAGTCTCTATTCTCTCGGTTAACACTTTCCACAATCACGACAAGCATTGTGCACTTACACATCATACGATTTGTATTATTTCCCCCAAAGCACGCACACACCAAGTACATAAATGCATTTAGTACGCAGTCTTGTTTGCGCAGAAAAAAAAAAAAATTTGAAACTTGTTTGTTGTAGGTTTCAGGGAATATATTAGCTCCAAGTGTTCAATCTCCTCATGGGGCAATGACAAGGAACATTGGATCCATTTCAAGTGTGTGGATGGCCTTAGCATTCAAGGAAGTGGGACAATAGATGGTCAAGGACATGCATGGTGGCCCATCAAGAGTGCTCAAGAGACCCATGTAATTTCACTAACACCCTAATTATACAATTCATCATCACACACATGTGAAACTCAAGATTCTTGCATCAATAAATCACATCCAGCAATTTTGTCTTCCCTTCTTTTGTACACATAAAGAGTCATAACCAGGTGCTGGTCACGCCTAAGTAGGGTCTCGGGAGGGGTGGGCTGGAAACGGGCCTAACTTTTGGCTTAAACACAAAGTGGCTTCTCTTAGGACTCAAACTTACGCTCTTATGTTGGCTACCCACCCAAGCCTTTTACTGTCGTACCAAGTGACGGCCATTACTTCTTTGGCACACATGTGTTAGCACTATCCTATGGGCAAACTTTCTATGCTTCCTCTACAGCATAGCAGTTCTATCCTTCCCCTTATGCAACCCTCCATTCTAAATGGAGGACTAAGATTGCCCCAATCATAATGTCGTGTCTCTACACTATTTTATTTTTAATTTTTTTTTTCATAAACTATTTTGACACAAAATATTGAAAATTCCTCTATTAAACTTGCACTACAGAAAAATATAAAAAAAATGTTTTCAACGAAATAAAATGATCAAAATACCTCTGATATTTTCAAGGGGTTTTTTGGGCATTACATTTTATCGAAAAATTATTTTTAATATTTTTTATAGGTGCGTCCCCAGGAGAAGATGACACGTACCAAATTTCATATTCATACAATTTGTATAAAAAAAACTAAATATAAAATACTTTGAGATGTCGGATCTAATATCAAACGGTGAGTGGCTCTCTTGATCAAAATTGGATGGCTGCATGATAGGGAAAGGATAGAACTTCTATATTATAGGAGAAACATAGAAACCTTTCCCTTATCCTATTGCTGATAGAGTTTATTTAGGGCATGTTTGGTACCTTGGAAATCTCTCTCTCCGCATATTTCTACTTAGGCCATGTCCATGTTTGGTTAGTGGGACATCCGTAAATCTTTATGGTGCACCACCGCTATACAAAATTTGGGAAATCTCGGCTCTTTCATGGGAAAGTGGCTTCATACTCCAGGAGCTGTGAAGCTAATTTCTCGGCATTCTCTCTTGTTGAGGGAGATTTCCAATGGAAAAAACTACCCCTTGTTGTGCTGCGATTTTGGTTTCAAATGGTTTGCTAGCAGGAATGCCTTTCCTACTTTTCGATCAACCATTTGAAACCGAAATTTCTAGCATGGAATACTTGCTCTTTTGAATATGCACAGTAGTATCATCATGTTATTGTAATTGTTTTTGTTATTATATAAGTAGAATCGTAGTTTCAAATGGGTACGAAACCACGATCATCAAGGACGATCCGGGGAAAAATCAATTACATATTTTATTTTTATTTTTAGTATAAGAAATGATGGTTTCACCACTTGCAATTAAATTGACTGTTTAAATTTTTAAAGTTGCCATCTATTATGAGTTTCTCTTGATAACAATGCTATTATTATTCTTCTGTTTAGCATTGAGTACCATGTTTCTTATCTCATTTGTGGTCTCTCTCTTTCTCTGCAGGATAGTTTCAAGACGGTACCCACGGTAAGTGGTGTCTCTTTTTCTCTGCAGGATGATTTCGGGACGGCACCCACGGTTAGTGTCTCTCTTTATTACTTTTCAAACGATAACACGATTCCGGAACATTGCATAAACCATTCGAGCGATCCATAATTTTGGATTCTCAGACTAGAGTTTTGAAGGACCGAGTTTTCGGGTATCAGCCTTTTCTAATTGGTATTGTAAAAATTTACAAGCATAATGATACTTAATAATCACATATAAAGAGAGTGGTTTTATTCTTAAGCAGCATAAGTGGGTTTGTAACTAGAACATAATTTATAACTGGGTTTGTAACTAGAGCATAATTTATAAATGGAAAATTGTTTCATGCGGGCTGGACCTCATTTCTACATATGCGATCCAGAAAGTGTAAAGCATATGTCTTAAAGATGGATGCAAGTAGGTTTTCCATCTAAGAATAATGGAAAATAACGGCCCGAATGTTTTCTTACTAAAATTATTATTTTTAGTTTTAAAATTTATTTTTTCTTTCATATTCACGATCTCCATGTTAGAGATATCATGTCCTTAAAAATTAAGTCTTAAAATCTATCTCAAAAATAGATTTATTAAGAGGCCCGCATTTCTACATATTCGGGCTTGGCCGCATAGAGACTGGGTTCTTTATAAATTTATGCAACAAGCACTTTCTAGGTTCGAGTTGTATTGAAATGAAAAGTTTTAGGACACTCTAACATATCATGTTGGTGTCCCTCTTGGTATTTTTATTTTTGGCTTGTTTTCTAAATTACTATTAAATATTAATATGATACATGTATTAAGATACATTGTGAAAATTATCTGAGCAAACTAATATGGCTTTGTGCAGGCATTGAGCTTCGATGTGTGCACCAATCTAAAACTGAGGGATTTGCACATTGTTAATAGCCAGCAAAGACATATCGCAATTCATAATTCTAATACTGTTTACATAGGGGGTCTCCATATTAATTCTCCAGAAGATGGCCCCAACTCTGATGGGGAACTCGAGAACAGTTTTATTGCCACTGGTATCACTCGCTCTCATAGAAACAGAAAAATTAAAAAAGAACAGAAGTTTTTGTTTTGGTGACACTTTGATTGTTGTTTTTTTTTTTTTAGTTCATGTCATTCAATGAACTTTGTTTCCTTCCATTGCTTCGATTCATTGTTCAAAATCGGCGCATTAGTTACTATCAGTGTCCTGAGAAGCGCTTTGGGCTAGGACCGCACAACTAGCCTGGGGTGAGTTATTGGAGCGTGGACTCGCCCGAGTTCTTTACTAGCTAAAGCATTTAAAGAAAGAGCTGGTGGAGAGAGTGTTGTAGGCCATTTAAAGAGTTATGTGGCCTCGGAGGGAGAGAAAAATTGGCCTTTGTGTACCTGCATCCCCACGATGGGGGCAAGATTTATGGCCCGTACAAGCTAGCCCATTACCATGGCCTCAACAAGCTAGCGCACATGGGTAACTACATCATCAAGCCTTTCTAAAATAATTACGATCCTCATGCTTATTATGGAAACCTATGTGGTGATAATGTGTACAATATCCTACTATATTTGGGTAATTTTTGTTATATAACACCCATGTAGTTATACATAAGGGGTTGTAACAGTCATACATAATAGTTGGAATTCTTATGCTTGTTGACCTATTTGTATTGTCACTCCTATAGGGATTTGTATATATATAGGAAAAATCACCAGTGAGAAAGATATCTACATTTTCTTTATCTTGTGCTTGGATATTACTTTCTCTCTCTTCGCTCTCACTTTTAACATGATATCAGATCAGGGCTTGACACCCTAGGATATCTATTTTACTTCTGGTGACCCTAGAACGATGACTTTTCTTCCTTCTTGTAATTAAAGCCGTGGATATCAACATCCTTGTATTTCTAGAAAAATCATCTCACTTTTCTTTACCAATAAGTAAGTATTTATCCCAAACACCTTCCTTTTAGTAGCAACCTCATATTCCTAGCAACATCATATTTCCTGCAACCTTCTATTTTTAGTAACTTTATATTTCCAGCAACCTCACTTTTGGAACTAAAGAATTAGTACCTTGGAAAAAAGACTTACGGTTTCTAGTTTGAGAAAGAACGAAATTGTCAGAAATTGAGAACAGTATTTCCTTGGAAGTAGTCAATTTGTACCACCTAGGATTGATGATCCCTACATGTAAACTAGATGAGACAAACTATTTAGAATGGTCCCAATCTACGAAAGTGTTCAAAGGAAGCCAGAGAAAATTAGGTTAAAAGCATAGGAAAAATGAAAGAGCTGCCCAGCAAATGATCCAACCCATGATGAATGGGAAAGTGAGAATCTGACAATAATGTCATGATTCGTTTATTCCATGTTGCCAAATATTGGTAGAGGACTATTGATTCTTAAGACTGCAAAGGATATATGGAAGGTAGTAGCTAATACATACTCGCAAAGAGATGATATGGTAAGGACTTATTAATGACATGGTAAAATAATAATGACTTTGTAACAAGAGGAAATGACTGTGGAAGAGTACTTTGGGATACTGTTAGGATTGAGATTAAAGAGAGAGATAAAGAGTAATATTCTAGCATAAGATGAAGTAAATACATATACTTTTCACACTCTACAAATCGTAGGGCAATGTGCCCTATATATTTACATATTTCTATTGGGGTTACAATACTGGTAGGTCAACATGCAAAAGAATTATAACCATAGTAGAAGTTACAAAACCTATTATAGGAGGTTCTAATGGGCGTGAGGCCCATTATTCATAGGAGTTTCATGTTTTAATGGGTATGAGCACATAGTATCATAACAACCACTACATGTGGCTCCATTATGCATACGAGTTAAAACCTTTACACATGTTGTAATGGCAATGAGACAATATCAATTGCTTCACTCCCCCCCGTCAAGCTGGAATATATATATCATAGATGCCCAACTTATCCAAAGTGTCCTTTAGTTGAACTCGATTACAGGCCATGGTAAATGTGTATGTCAATTGATATTTAGAGTGAACACATGGTGGACATATTATCTTTGAAGTGACCATTTATCTGACAAAGTGGAAGTCAACCTCAATATGGTTGGTTCTTTCATAAAATACAAGATTTGTGGCAATACAAATTGCCACTTGATATCACAATGTAAAGGAGTAGCAGTTGATACATTACCACGCACCTGTTGAAGAAAAGAATAGAGCAAAATTGTTTCACATGTAGAACTTGTCATTTTTCAATATTCAGCTTATGTTGAATATCGAGTTACAACACGTTGCTTCTTACTCTTCTAGGTGACTAAATTACCACCCATTGTTATAAAGTAGCCATTGGTAGATTGTTGATCAAGAGAACACTCGACTCAATCCGCATTGCGAAAACCTTGCATATCAAGATGACCATGATTGACATAAAGTAACCCTCTCCCTGGAGCAGATTTTAAATATTGTAATAAATAGCCTCCGAGTGATGGGAGCTTGGTGCATGCATAAATTAACTTGCCATGCTTAAAACATATGAAATGTAAATTAATAAATCTACCCACTAGTCTATGATATACACCAGAGTTACTGAGAGGCTTTGACTATTGATCATACAATTTGTGATTAACTTTTATAGGAGATTTTTTTGGTTTCTCTCCAAGCATTCCTATGCCATTGGGGAGATCAAGGGTACACTTCTTTTGAGACAAAAAAATTCGTCATTTAAACTTAGCCACATCTAAGCCAAAGAAGTATTTCAATGGACCAAGATCCTTGATGTAAAAAATACCCCCTAAGAACTTTTTCACTTTCAAATTTCGTGTGATCATATACTATCAATATTATGGTAGAGCCAGATTTTCTTTTTAACATATACAAAATGATTATAAACAATCGTTTGAAGTCCAAATTAACATATTGCCATACTAAAGTTTTCAAACCAAGACCCAGGTGATTGTTTCAATCATATATAGCTTTTCTCAACTTGCAATCTTTCCCTTTCCCCCTTTGAGGATAAAACTCAGGTGGTAACTCATATATACTTCCTCTTGTAGATCTCCATGGAGAAAAATATTATTCACGTTAAGTTGGTGTAGTGGCCATTTCTTATTTGTGGCAATAGGTGATCTGCACTGATTTCAAATTTGCCATAGGAGAAAAAGTCTCCTTATAATCAACCCTACATAACCATGTAAACCCTTGGCAATCAAACAAGCTTCGAATTTCTTAGTCGAGCCATCTGGTTTGTGCGATAGGGTGTACAACCATATGCATCCTACCTCATGTCCTGTTGGCCGATCAATTACATCCCAAGTTTGTTACTTCTCTCAAGAAATCATTTCCCCAACCATGACTGCTTTCCGTTGTACATGAGCCAATGCATCTGCAATTTCAGTGGGAATAGAAACATATGAAGTAGAGCAAAGGTATGCATGCAAAGAAGTTGAAAGTGAAGCATAAGAAACAAACATACTGATCAATTGAGAAGTACAAGCCCTTTTTTCCTTTCTTACGTAAATAAATAAATTGAATTCATAAGATATAATAAGGGCAGGAGGATAAGAAGTACCTGACGAGTCGACGAGTTGGGATTGATCTTTATGTTAGACTTTCCATTGTTCTTTTTTTTGGGTGTTCAACTATTTGTTAGTAGATTCCATAAGTTCAATGGTTGTTTTACTAGAACTATCTGTGATCATTGTAAGAGGGATATGATTTTTGGGTGGCATATTGGATATCAAATTTCTTTGGATAGAAAAATTGGATATATTATCAAAGGATGTAACATCTTTTGAAATATATTTCGTTTTAGTTTTGAACAACACCAATTGTATCCTTTATGAGAGTTTGAGTATCCCAAAAACATGCATCTGGTAGGTTGAGGTCCTAATTTAATCCTAGCCGGCCCTAGTGTGAGCACAAAGCAAACATAACAAACAACAATTCGTAGATGAGAAAACAAACAAATTGTTTAGTGGAGAAGTTTTAAAGAATAAGTGCCATCAAGAACATGTGTAGGCATTCTATTGATCATACATGCAATAGTAAGAACTGCGTCGTCCCAATATGTCTTAGGAGCCTCCATTATTAGTACTTCTAACAAGTGTCTATTTTGTCGTATATCATAGGTTAGTGGGTAGACTTATTTATTTGATAGTTATACACCCAAACATTGCATATGCTATAAAGTTGGCAAGTCAGTTTATTCAAGCACAAGGCTCCCATCACTTGGAGGTTGCTTACTACAGTTTAAATATTTGAAAACTGCCCAAGGAGAGGGCTTCTTTACACCAGTCACTGTCATCTTGATTTATAAGGATTCTACGATGCAGATTGGGCTGGGTGTTCTCTTGATCGACAATCTACAAATGGCTACTTATGTAAGTGGATGAGAATTTTTTAGTCACTTAAAAGAGTAAGAAGCTAAGTGTTGTAGCTTGATCTTCAACAGACGTTGAGTAGCAAGCAATGACATATGCCACATATTAAATAATTTGGCTCCATTCTCTTATTCAAGAGATGAGTGTTAATGTATCAACTCTTATTCCTCTACAATGTGATAATTAAGGGGCAGTTTTTATTGCTTGAAATCCTCTATGTCGTGAAACAACTAAGTATATTAAAGGCAAACTCTCACATCGTTGGAGAAAGGGTCTCTTCATACACATTATGTACTCCATTTGATTGATATGAGAATCAATTAGTAGCCTTACGAAGGATCTAATTGCGTTTGACTAAGGGATACTTGGGACAAGCTGGGCATTTATGATATATATGCTACCTTGAGGGGGAGTGTAGCTACCGTTATGAGACCCATACCAATTAAAGAAACCTACAATAATTACTGGCATGATGCTCATTCTAAAAACCTATATGTGGTGATAATGTGTACAGTATTTTACCATTGTTGGCTGATTTTTCTTGCTATAACAATAATGCAAAATAAGCTGCAACAACCATGTAACAATCATGCATAACGTTGTAACTCCTATGCATATTGACCTACCTGTATGGTAACGCATATAGGGATCTGTGTACATAGGGCCCATTGCCCTATGATATGTATAGATTGAAAACGACATCTGTATTTTCTTTATCTTGTGCTTGAATATTACTTTCTCTCTCTTCTCTCACAATCCAAATAATGGTGAATCGTTTTAGAAAGTGTCTTTCATCAAATCACTACACATTGCATTTAAATGAAAAATCAAGTTTTCTTGAGTTTTGTAGAAATTGAAGAGAACTTGAACACTTGGCAATTGCCATGGAATTGTTCTGTTCCTAATGTTTCCATCTAAAAGTTCGAGATAAGTTCACATTAAAAAAGGATCAGAGAGGTGTTCACACGTGAGTTCGCAAAATGGGAAACCAACTAAGACCTTACACCTACAAGGTATCTTTATTTTTGAGGGGACCTACAAGGTATTTTCTTGAAAAAATAGTCAACTTATCCTTTACTACCATATGCATTTCTTTTGCTGGATGAGTTTCACCAAGTGTAACATGGAGAATACTATTATACATGTTGTGCAACGGTCTGAGAGTTATTTCATGTAGGGGGACATCTAGATTGGCATTTGAACTAAATTTACCAGATCAGTAGGTCTGCCATGTTTTAGATATGAAGTAAAATGTTCATTATCTTCTTGAGTTCTGATATGTTGTGTGAGATCAGCATTTGGATGATTTCTCTTCAAATTTATATATACTCCTCGAGAAAGGGAAAATGAATTTCTTGACATTCCTATCCATTTTACTCTGTTATATTCAGGGCAATTTCTTTGTAGGTGACGATTGCATTTCCATTGGTGATGGCACGTATGATGTAAATGCATCCAAAATCACTTGTGGCCCGGGTCACGGCATCAGGTAGTTCTCCCATTTCAATATAACACCGCATCGACTACATATAGGTTTTGGGCTCCTGCACTGTGCTCTATGGTTAGGGTTTCAAAATCACAATTAGAACTACGGCTTCAATTGCACCCGTAGTCCAAGCTACCATGCCATTGTTGTGTTGTGCTCGAATAAGAAAATTAGTTAGGAGCCTCCCCAGTGCAACATGTTTCTCTTTCCATTTAAAAATCGGCGTGATTCTTTTATGCAGCATCGGAAGTCTCGGTAAAGATGGGACTCGTTCAACTGCAGAAATGATACATGTTAAGGATTCTTTCTTTATTGGAACTAAAAATGGGGCTCGGATTAAGACATGGCAGGTAACTCATGCTTTGCTACTCTTAAACGTTATGATCAGGGAGTGGTAGGTTTAGTTTGGTAAATTTCGTTTAGTATTATTAGTATTATTACTTTATTGGTAGTTCAGAATGGGATCCTCTACCCATGGTACGAGTAAAACTAAAGAAAGCCACAACATTTGTTCACTGTTAGTTAGCTGATTGTCCACCACTTTCAGAAATCCACCATCATCTCTCATAAACCCACACTTTTCTCGACACTACAGAACTCACCTTAGCCAAGATGCTTGCCTATGGTAGAGGCAAGTGACTTGAGCGAGTCTGATGGAGTTATGCCCAAGTTAAGGAAAGGGCTTAGATGAGCCCAAGAAAAGGGGAAAAATCCCAAGAAAATAAGGCCAATGTAATTCTTTTGAATTAAACTAGCCTTGTCAATAGAGCTAGGACAGTTTTGACCCTGGTCTGCCCTTGTCCCCGTAGGACCGGTCCTGGACCTGTTAGGGCTGGACCGTGCTGGGCCAGATCAAAATCAAATGAAGAAAAATATATAAAAAAAATAAAGGAAAAACTATACTGCAATTCTCCATCAATTATTCTCTCACAGGGTATACTGTTTTTCAGATATTCTCTCACTAGAACTCAAGAAAGGACAATTACACTGGTCATTTGGTGAGATACCTTTGTTTTGGCTGAGATAATCTTTAGGAATGATTTTGCTTCTTTTTACTAATTTGCTAATTTTCCTCAGTCTATTGTCCTAAAGACTCCATATTACCAAAATTTGATCAAAATTTGCCTTTATGGTATTTGAGATTCATAAATCTATTTCAAGGTTTTCGTTTAATGGCTTTCATTTAATTCCCTTTGAGTACCCCACAATTCTGCTTCTTGGATTAGCAAAAACATGAGGGCAAACATTCACATTTTTTTTGAATTTTTCATGCCTTGTTCACAAATTTCTCTAGAATTTTAATTGTGTTGAGTCTTTGTCCATCTACTCTTTCTCTAACCATTCAGGTTTCATGGCGTTGTGGACAACGCGATTCTCACATTGTTTTCTCTAGAAAAATTTCATCTCTCTCATTGTTTACAAATTATTTTCTTTCATTTTATTTGATGTTGCGAAGATTTGAAGTTCTGCCGATTGAGACAATCTATATATTGTAATGATTATGACCGGGATTTGTGTATAGTTGGGAAAAGACTCTGATGATGATAGTGATTATGATATTGCTATGAATATGCGTGTCCCAGATATATCGAATCCCATGTATAGATATATCCGAATCTTAGCAGATATATTTCCTCAGAATACAAGACATCAATCCTCAACATTGCGACCCTCTGGCATAATGTTGCAAGTAAGTTTCTTAGTATTTAATCTTGAATAGACAACTCAGAGTATTTTATTTTTTAGTTTTACTCTTATGGATCATCTGCATGTATTGTTCTTGTGAAGGACTCCTTTCTTTAATTATTAAGAAGTCTATTTTCATATGTGCAGACATCAGCTGTTAAGGTGAGCGATGTCCAATTCATAGGGGTGCATGGAACATGTAAGAGTGAGGTGGCCGTCTCAATAGCATGCAGTGAGAGCATTGCGTGCACAAACATAGTGGTAAATGGCCTTGAAATAAGATCTAGTGAGCCCCAAGTTTCTATCACCACATATTGCCTCAATGCTCATGGAACTGCTCAGGGTAAATGTAATCTACCCGTTCCTTGCTTACACACAAAAAATATTGTTGGCCGCATAGGGAGTAAGAGATAAGAGAGTTGATTCTTGTGCAGATTACATTGCTCTTTATTTTGTTTGTAAAAGGATTGTGTAGGCCCATTATTGAGAGGCCTTTTCATGATAATTGATTGTGTTAGTTCTTGATTGTTGGTCGGTTGGTTTGCTGCAAGGTTTTAAAAATCACCGATTCGGATCGAAATCGCTCGATCTTTAAACACTTTTGATGTGGGACTAAACATCCCCTCGTTTGTAATGTCTCACAATAAAGCGCCTCTTTCAAGTTTTTTTCTTTTTTTTTTTCGAACTTCCCCTTCTTCAACCACGAAAACCCGAAAACCCAATTTAAACTATATGGTCTCTAATTAATAATGATTAAAAAAGTGAAAGTAGAGACGACGTAAGATTCTTTCAACGCTTTCTTTGAATATACACATAAAAGAGAAACCTTTAGGACCTTTGTTTTTTTTTTTTATTCATAACTACAACTTCATGAAATTGAAATAAATTATCTTGTGATCTATTAGGAAAATATATTTAATTAGTTGTATACTATGCGTATCTTTCTGTCACCCTCCCTCATAACACAATCTCTCTCTCCATACAAAACGCCTCTCTCTCTCTCTCTATTGCTCTCATGGCCAAAAGCAAAGCACATGGTTAGGTAGTGCGTTTCCCATGTGCAAAAAACAAGCGTTTTGAGTGTTCTCTATCATCAAGAATGACATCAACTTCTCTCTATCTACCTTGTTCGTGTTTAATGCTTGAATAAATGTTTTGGCTTTGTGCATTTAGTTTTTTACGTGTTCGGAGTGCCATGATGCTTGATTCTTTTTTACATATTTGAGTTTTATTGGGAATACCTTCATGCTGGATTCTTTTTTATTGGGAATACCTTCATGCTGGATTCTTTTTACTTATCTGGCTTTTTTATTAATGGTTAGTTTTTCAATGGTGGGGTTTATTAGTTACAACAGTTAGTATTAAATTAAAAATGTCACAAGAATCTATATTTTAGATTGATTTAGATGGCCCAATAAATAATGTGAATGTCGAATTGTGCCTTTAATGATTGTGAAATGAATGAAATGGACAATAAACACTTGGCATTAGACAGGTTTTCAATACCTACATATTTTTGGTAAATTAATGAAAAACCATAAGGCAACACCACCACTTTCATTTTTAAAAAAAATATTAAAAATTAGATTTTTGAGAAAGTATAGTATTTTTTTGAAAATTGGTTAGGTCAAAACCAGCCGATTCTCTGATCTGGATCGTAGATCCACTGATCCGATACGGTTTTTGAGGTGGCCGATCTGGGTACCGATCTATTTTTTTACACCTTGGTTTAATGATAATGATGCTCATAGGATTAGAGAATGCTAAGTACTAAATGGTTCCTAAAACGTTGAAATTGAAGTTGAAAAGTATACATATGGGTTATGTTAGGGAACATATACATGTGAGTATTGAACAATTATTTCATGCGGGGCTGGACCGCATTTCTACATTATGGGGTGCATAGGTATAAAGCATCCATCATAAAGATGAATGCAAATAGGTGGTCTAAGAGCAATTGTAACTAACAGTCCAAATGTTTTCTTAATATAATTATTATTTCTGGTTTTGAAAAATTATAATTATTTTTTATATTCATGATCTCTATGTTAAAGATTATATATACTTTAAAAGTTAAGATCAAGTTATATTTTAAAAAATATATTTATTGTCAAGCCAGAATTTCTGCAATACGCAGGTTGGCTGCATGCAAACTGCATCTGTGAGTATTTACTTACTGTACTGAATATTTTTGGATATTTAATACCCTTATCTCATAATTTAGCAACTTTTTATTTAGGGGTACTTTAGGTAAGTATTCAAGGACAATGAAAAAATTCACAATAAAATTTTTTTTTTATCAATTATAGTAGAGAATGGCATCATTCACATGGGGTGTAACATCATCCATATAGAGCATTATTGCCACGTAATTCTTGTAAAAATATCTATCATACTCCTCTAAATAATGAAAATTACCCTTGCTAAAAAACAATTTGTACTACAAAGCAAGGTTAATTAGTGTGCAAAAATATTGAGTACATTTAGTAAATGCTCATATATATATGTGTACCCTAACATAATTTCTATAAAAAGTTGTTTTCATTTTTAATTTAATTGTAGGTAATAAAAAAAAAAAATGTACATTTTTCCTTTTTTTGAATTGTTTTGTATTTTTTCGGGTTTTTTGACCTATTAAAAAAAAGCAATTTACTTGATCGAATCGTATTGGTTAACCAGCTCGGTTTCTAGTTAACTAGAACCGGCTCATGGCAGGTTGACTGGCCCCGTTTGATCTTTTGGACATTGTAGCCTCTACTAGGTTCCTTACTATATAATCAATGTTACGCAATAAGGCAGGATTGAGGTCAATGATACGCTCTGACGAGTGGCCGCCTGATAGGGAAGCAATGAGTCAATGTGAAAGAGAGGTTGGAAGCATCCTAATCGACTAGAGGTTCTAGTGTTGATACGACCATGTTGTTTCTGTAGTTTAACCTATAGTGCAAGTGTTGAGGTTAGTTGGCTTTGATGATAAACTAGTAATGGGTTTCATATGTGACGCCATGACACGTAAAAGGGAAACCATAATTCAAAGTAACTTATGGATTGATGAAATTTTACACAGCTCTTTAGATACTGTTATGAAGACAGTCTCCAAGCTATGAAATCAAAAGTAGACCCATAACTTCAAAATAAATGGGAGTTGTTACATAAATCTATCGATCATTTACCTATCAATGAGTTAGACAACAAGGCAATTGGTAGTTTGGTATTTTACAGCCTCCTTGAGATTATCTTCCTAATTGAAATGGACGCAATAACTATCTTTCTCTAAGATTTGTAGGATATTGTGGCCTGCAAAGACATTTCTTGTTCCTGGTCGACGTATTCACTTTTTGCCAATTGGGCTGTTAGACGAAAGAAATTTATATGTTGGGACCAGGGATCAGTAATGTCCTTGGATGCATGTGAATTGATGTAACACGTTATCGCTCCATGCGTTTTCATGTAACCGATGCAAACATAACTAGGCTTTCAAACTATAACCCGGTGATCACCATTTCAATACTAAAGACATGAAACCTGTTAAACATAAATGATGAATTGCCTCAAACCAGAGACATGTTACTCATCACGTCGTGAATCAGAGTAGAGAAGTTTCCTGATGAGCGTTTCCTGTGCAGTAACATGCAAGAAATGATAGATCAGTGTCAGACACAATGGACATAAGCTCTACTCAATGGATCTATATCCTTGAGTGGTCGCTTTCAAGCAATTACTAATTGAAGTGGTTTCAATTGATAGGAAAATAAGTTTATTAGAAATGAAAGCACAATGTGATGGAAAGTAAACCGTTTTACAAAGTTTCAGAAAGGTTTTAGGTATTTCATCTCATAAGGTTTACATATTGGTCCTTGTTTTTTGCGGGGTGGAGATTCAAACAATAGAACTCTCACCTGCAAACTAGTTTTCACAACTCTCACCTGCAAACTAGTTTTCACACTGCTAAGCCAAAATACGCCTCGCTTTGTGTCTCTATAGTTCTATCACTTTTATATTTCGTTTTATAGACCCACTTGTAGCCAACTGGTTTTTTCTGTTTAAGAAGAGTAATGACATCCCAAATATGATTTTTCTTTAAAGCAACAAGTTCACCTTTCATAGCAATCTTCCATATTGCATTTGAATTAGCTTCCTCGAAGCTAGTGGGTTATTTAGTTGAGGAAATTTCAGTAAAAAGAACAAAATATTTAGGAGAGAACTTCTTTAAATCTATCTATTTTTCAATGGGATAACGAATATTGTGATTGCTTTCCTTGGCATGATATGTATAGTGTGTTGGGTTGTGGTCTTTAAAGGCCTTATGAGTGCTTACAAAATGAAAAGATATAGTGGAACATGAACTCAGTGGGAGCGTGGCCCCTCGTGAACCATACTAAGCAAATGAAGGTTTGCTGATACCGATCTGTGCTTAACGATCTAAGCCAGTCCGTTGGGAAAAACCCATGTTACCTGGGCATGAAGAACAAACCGATGAGGGTTTATAGGTTAGCCCTTGATGAGGTCGGAGAACATGCCCGGATGAGTGAGCCGAGGGACTGTGTGACCCTTGTATGTGATGGTGGCCTATTGAGAGCCAAAACCTCATCCATGTACCATCACACGACATGCATATCGATAGATCGCTCGGGAAAGCCAGAAATCCACCTTTTAGGATGAAGCATATGCATGTGCAAGAGATACCTTTATGCGCTATAGAGCTATGATCGCATAAGGTCTTGGTGACCTTGATTTGTCTCTAGAGGACGACCTGTAATCCACAGACTTGGATTGCGACCCCTTGGCTCATCCCCCAGACTTTGGTGACCCACTAATGAGCCCCTGCTTGAATTGTGGGTCATGAGAAATACTGGGTCGGTTGGATAAGGCAAGTGTGGTATGTAGTCCACAATCGAAGGTGGAGTGCCCCATGATTGCAGATTAAATTCCTTAACCATATGCATCCATTTCCCATCAAGTTAATTTAATTATGTTTATTTTATGATATAAATTATTTTAGAATTATTATTTGAATTTTTATAAGTCATTTGATATTTTATTTATATTTTTTTTTTGAACTTATAAAAATGAAGATATTGATTTTACAAAATTATAAAATTCAAATATTGTTTTAGAATTTTTTTGATAATTTAAAATTATATAAAATATCATGGAGGGGCCCATAGTACACGTGGGCCCACCATTTGTCAAGTGGGTGTGACCCACATGTGCTACACATGGGTGGCACACCCCACCCAGTGGATTCTTTCTTGGAGTTTAAGTTATTTCATGTTTTGGTAATATTATGTTATGACATGTGGTCAAATAAGATATGAAATATTTTGACCATATATTGACCAA